GCCATCGGAATTGTGGGAGGTAGGTACCTAGTTTTTGGAAAAATTAACCGGAGACCTAGTTTTGGGCTCGTATTCGGTTATTCGAATAATTTATTCGGTTTCTGCCCAGGCCTACCCTCCACCCACAGCAATGGCGGCAGATCTGAACTCGGATTGATGAAGTGCTGAGCGCAAAATAACTCTGTAAAGTAAAATCGCGTTCAAGATCGATGTTGCTGAAGGTCTGTTCAAATCCACTATTCATGAGCCTTTTTGTCAAATGCTGTTCGACTCTAGATTCTAGTCTAGATCTAGATCTAGAGATCTAGAAATCTAGATGTAGATCTAGATCTAGATATCTAGATCTAGAATCTAGAATCTAGATCTAGATCTAGAATTAGAATCTAGATCTAGATCTAGATCTAGATCTAGTCAATCTAGATTCTAGATCTAGATAATCTAGATCTAGAGATCTATAATCTAGACTCTAGACTTAGACTTAGATCTAGAGATATAGATCTAGATCTAGAGATTCTAATGCAGCTTTTCTTTTCTCCAAAATGAGAACTTGCGAGAGACGCAAAATTTGGGAGGACACTCTCCTCGGACCCTTTTTTCAGGCCGACTTAAGAGGTTCCTTCACCCTTTGGTCGTTAAACCCTTGTAGTTTTAGAAATTTTAAGGGTAAAAGTCAATAAGACATAAGATCTATCAGCTAATTTTATAGATCTAAATCGACGCTATTGAGTGGGATGTGGGACCGACTGCCAGCTGGACCATTAGTTGTTTACACTCTTTCTTACTTTAACTACGATGGCAGGCCTCTCTCTCTGCTCTCTGCCTGCTCACCACAATAAATTATGGTTCAAGGATCAGAGAGCGTGTAGATCTACAGACGTAACAAGACACAAGCATGAGACAATAATTATACTCTTGCATGACGGTAGAAGGGTTGTACAGTGGGTGCCGCATTCAACGAGGTCACATTCAACGAGAAGTCGGCTCCAACGAGGCAATCCTAAATCCCGATTTTTCCTCTCTCTTTGTAAATGTCGGCTCCAACGAGGTTGCAAACAGACCGAAGTCGCTTTCAACAAGGTCGGGGATAACCAAATTAAAGCTAGCTGCTTATTAAATTAGCGACCCCAAAAGCGAAGAATTTTTCTCCTTTCTCTCCATCTCACGCGAAGCACAAGGCACAAGGCCCATCCTCGATTCCTAACACATTGTATTTGTATTGCTAGATCTAGTGTGGCTCGGACTAATATGGGTCCCAAAGCCAAGAGGATGGGCGAGGGTTAGCTTATAATCTATACTATGGTAGGGATGAGAGGGGGTGGGTGGGAACGAGATGCGGGCTGTGTGAAACTGGATGAACTCTGGATGGGTAGGTCTAGATCTAGATCTAGATTGAAACCTTCTTTTTTTTTCAATTTTCTTTTCTCACCCATATCAGAAAATCCAAGCTCCCGCCTTTATTTTATGTAGATTTAGGCCTAGATGTTTGAGGGTAGATCTATGTTTTCACACGAGAAGTGTTCCGGGAAAAAACAAAATTATTTTTAAAATGCAGAAATGGTACATCGTGTAATATAATAACTTTCTTTACTTTAGCCGTAGTCACGTTCAACGAGAGGTCGGATCCAACGAGGACAACAAGCCGGTCCCAGCAACCTCGTTGAATGCGACACCCACTGTACATTATTTTTTCTTATTCTTTCTTTTTCTTTAAATTTTTTGCCTCTTCTTTCCCTTTCTTCTTGAACATTGAGTTTAGAGCCAAAAAAGAGAAAGAGAGCCATGAAATTCTCCTGGCCAGACACGATCCAAAAGAGCCAAAATTCTGGGATTTGGCTCCAAACTGACTGTGACTATTCGGACACGAACAGTGACGAACATGATGCTGTGGAGCATCAACCAGGATCCCTAGGCCTATAGGGTCATTTCCGGTTTTAGTAAATGAGGGGGTGAGAATAGTGAGACATGATGAGAATAACCACTTCCTTGGGGTTGGGGTAGGGTTAGGTTAGATCTTTTCTTTATTATAATGTCTGTTGGCATGTTGGGGTGGGCACTCTTCGGAAGAAGTGGTCCCGGTCTAGAGTCTAGTATACATGTAGGTCTAGATCTAGAGGTACTACACAAAATCGGAGAGGACTTCCATAACGAGGGACCACTTTGAGACAGAGTATAAAGGAGGGATAGGGCTAGGTTTGGGGTAGGGAGAGAGACAGACAAAGAGTAAGAGACAGTCTGTCTGTCTTTCTCTCACTCATGTACACACACACACACACACACACACACGCATTCACACACACACACACACACTCACAAATACACGAGTCCGAATAACATTTTTTCATATTCAGACTCGAGTCCGAATAAAAAAATTTCATATTCGGAGTCGGAATATGAAAAAATGTTATTCGGACACGGTCTGGAAAAAAGGAAGTGTCTTCGTTCTATAGATCTAACGTTCAGTGCTTCCAATTTTCCGCCATTTTTTAGTTTCCCCCACACTTTATCTGCCGATCCGATGCCCGCCGCCTCATTGATACCCCCCCCCCCCCACCCCTCATGTTTCCCACTTTCTTTGTTGTAGAAAAAGGTAAAATTGAAGATTAGCAGATCACCTGGCACCTGCATATTATGAGCTGTGTAAAAAAAAAGACCGATTCGTTCAAATACACAAGCCTGTGTCATCTCGATTGTTTTACCAAGAAAAAGTTGTGTTGCTGTGTAGAGCCGATCATACGGCAACTTTTGATTCCATAGACCAGCGCACAATTCATTACGTAGATCTACGTCAAGACTATCTTATTATTGTAATGATCAGTTGCCGGGGGGTGGGGGGGGGGGGGGGGAGACTGACGTTCAAAGCCCGGACCGATGGTGCCCCCCCCCCCCCCCTTACACGCACAGCCACACGTGTGCAGGCCGCCCATCCGACCCCGACACACGCTAACGAGCCATCTTTAATTGCTTCTGATGACCTCTTGACAAATAAACATTTATTAGAAGTGCTATAACTTTTCAGGCCGGCCTCAAATTCATCATAAGATAAAAACTCGGCTCCTGCACAATTTAACGCCATTTTGCCCGAAGTGATCCCGGTCTCTACCCAGCCTGAGGCGAGTCACGAGTGAGGCAGGACAGGAAGCCAGAGTCACGAGTCACAGGAAGTCGGCAGTGATGTCATGCTGGACATGAATCAGAGTCCGAATAACATTTTTTTATATTCGGACTCGAGTCCGAATAGTCACTTCGTTAGGTTTGGGGAAGGGTTTTAGGATTAGGTCTTGTGTTTGTTGGGGTGGTCGCTCGTTATGGAAGTCCTTCCCATAATCGGAAGCAACTGACGTCAAGTAAAAAAGTTGACTGAGTTGCCAGGTTGAAAAGGCCACCAATAAATGTATAATGTATAGATCTAGTATAAAATCTAGAAAAGGTCCAAGCCCATTTTAGACTAATTTTCGGCTCTCCTTCCCATAATCGGAAGCAACTGACGTCAAGTAAAAAAGTTGACTGAGTTGCCAGGGTGAAAAGGACACCAGTAAATGTATAATGTATAGATCTAGTATAGAATCTTGAAAAGGTCCAAGCCCATTTTCGGCTCTATCGTAAGGTTTTTTTAGTGTGCTGAAAACAATTTTGGCACTAAGAACTGTCACAAATCATTATTTTTGTGAATATCTATGGAATTAGGCCTGGACCACTTCTCCCGAAGAGAGCCTTGGGGTGGTCACTCGATACGGAAGTCCTTCCCAAAGTTTGTTTTTCTAGACTAACTCTAGGTCTAAATCGAGATCTAGATTTTTAGTCAAATTAAATGTTATTTTTGTTCACTCACTCTAGATCGAACACAGAATCTACTCTCACTTTCGCTACCCGGTTCTCTAACTCAGCTCTAGATCTAGTCCTAGATCTACTGTTGGTCTTGATATTCCCTTTCCTGTAAATTGATTTTTATTTAGATCTATTATAAACTGTATCACTGTGAAAGTGAGAATGCCATCGGAATTGTGGGAGGAGTTTTGCAGAGTTCCGGCACTTACGGTGACAAAGTCCACCGCGCAAACTATTCAAGAGTTAGGGTTAGGTTAGGGTTAGGGTGTGTTATTGGTCAGCCGGCCCTCTGCGGAACTCCATTCGGAATTGTTTAGTAAAGTTTAGACAGGCCATATTTAAAATGCATTTTGACCTCCCAATCTCAAATAAATTCCATTGTTCATTGTTGATTCTATAAATTGAATATTGAAACAAGGTTTCAAGGGATTCAAGAGGTGATTAAAGTTTTGCCCAGAGTTGGTTAACTAGTGGCATTGTGATTGTTACAGTTGTAATCTCCTGTGGCCTAGAGGTTTTGTTCGCCTCTCATTCAAAGGTCCAAGGTTCGAATCCGGGTAGGTCTAGCGACAGAAAATTTTCTTCACTAAAATAATAATGTCTCCTTTTACCTCCTCTCCTGCTCTCTAGCAATGTCCTGTTATCTGCTTTCGTCTCCACTTTCTTGCCCCACCCTCTCACCTCCTTTGCCCCCTCCTCTGGGCTTCTGACTCTTTCTGCAGCCTTTCTACCGCTACTCCTTGACTCCTTCTTACTTGCTGTCTTTCAGCCACACCCCTGTTCTTCTGCTGGTAGGATAGATTTAGATCTAGCCTTCTCGGACAAGGGCGAAAAATCTCGGAGGTCCCGTATGCAAGTTGCGCTTGTTAAAGATCCCTTGGTGGTCTACAATCGATAAGAGTAGGCTTCGGCGCCACCCAGGCAAAATTCAAAATTTCCCACCAACAGAAAATTATGTTAAAGTGTCCCAGGCGCTCATATGACCGTATGCAGTTGCGGGCACCGTAAGACACTTACCAAAACAAACAAAACCAAATCTTTTGACGAATTTATCATTATAAGTTTGGCTCACATTTCACCTTGCGTTGTATATTAGTTTAACAATGGAATGTTTTATTGATTCTCAGTCAAAGAGCTTCCCTACTGTCCTGACTTTCTGACATGACAGTACAGCACTTTCCGTAGTGTGACCATGGATAATGAAGAACAGGTGAGTAAATGTGATATTAATATATCTATATTTAAATATTATTAGGCTATATATATATATATATAATTTTTATTATAATTAACTTGAAATTTAGTTGGGTTTTTTCCAGTAAGCTGGTGTAAAAGTTGTAATCTTGTCACTGGTTCAGGAGGTAATCATGCTTTATAATGTACTTTTGGCTTTATTTAACTCAAGCTTAGATTATAATTTCTACAGCACTTTCTTGTTCATTTTTGTCTGCATTACACAAATTTTGACTTTATATCTACTGCAAATTATTATTAGTTTATGAGATTATGGGTATTTTTATTTATGATAAAAATATGAACTATACAGTAGTCTCCGCCTAAGATCCCGGTGCTCGGGAGCAAGGAAAATGTGGGATCTTAGGCAAACCGGGATCTTAGCTGAATGGCCAGAGGGAAGACTCCACAGTAACTCATGGGCAGGCCCTGTTTGATAGAATGCATTCTGATGCAGGGTTGGGTTGATTTAAATTAGTTGATTTTTTAAATTTATAAAAAAATTTAAAATAAAAATCAGTGATTTAAATCACTTGAAAAAAAAAGTATTTTTATTCAGTTTTTACATATTTCAACATTCAAAATTCCTTTCCTTGGTTTCATAAAACAGATATAAGGTTTAGTAGACTAATATAATCATGCTTAAAAGTCTACTTTCTGTAAAATAATACAGTATTCAATTTACTTTTTCCCCCATAATTGAAATCAGAGCTGGGTTGATTTAAATCAGTTGATTTTTGTTTTGTTTTAATCAACTTGATTTTTGAAATAAAAATAAGTGATATAAATCACTTTTTGAAAAATGTATTCAGTTTTTACATATTTAAACATTCATAATTCCTTTCCTTGGTTTTATTAAACAGATATAAAGGTTTAGAAGACTAATATAATCATGCTTAAAAGTCTGCTTTCCCCCCTGTCACTGTAAAATAATACAGTATTCAATTTACTTATTTTTCATAATTGAAATCATGGTTTAGTTTATTTAAATCAGGTGATTAAAAAAAAAATTAAATCAACTTGATTTTAAAAATAAAACAGTGATTTAAATCACCTTTAAAAAAAAATGTATTCTGTTTTTACATCTTTAAACATTCAGAATTCCTTTCCTTGGTTTTATAAAACAGATATAAAAGGTTTAGTAGACTAATATAATCATGCTTAAAAGTCTGCTTCCCCCCCCTGTCACTGTAAAATAATACAGTATTCAATTTACTTTTTTTTCATAATTGAAATTTGCATTTTCTTTTTCTTTTTAGACTAACACAAGCGCGCGCACACACACACACACACACACACACACACACACACACACACACACACACACACACACACACACACACACACACACACACACACACACACACACACACACACACACACACACACACACACACACACTGTAATAAAATGCAAGTTTATCTATGCATAATTACCCCCCCCCCTTCCTTTTAGACTGACATTTTCTTCATTTTTTGTCTGTAGCCATAATTCACTGATATAGCAGATTAAGGCTTTCTTTTGCAGTTGCTTAAATTAATCATTAGTTAAAATAAAGACAATGCAATTTGCACTAAAAGAACATACTTTTATCCACCAAAAATCCCAAACTGTCAACATATTTTAAAAAATCCAAAAAATCCAAAAAATCCGATTGAAATAAAAAAGATCTGATTTAAATTTAAAAAATCGATTAAAAATTTTTTTATTAAAAAATTCAAAAAAATCACCAACCCTGTTCTGATGTTTGCTTGTAGGCCCTCCCCACCTAGTGTGTGATGTAAGATCAGGGAGACGGCTCAGGTGATCAGGGAAAGCAAGGCATCGACGAATTCACACCTTAGTGCGATCATGTCTGGGACAAACATTGTAACCGCTTATCGAGATTTACAACCAGGCGTGGTTCGTCCATAGAGCACGGTCGTGCGGTGCCACCCAATTTTTTTAAAATGTTCTATTATGTAAAACACCCACAATAATAAAATAAAAGAAGTCAGAAACAAACACTAGCTAAATATTATACCAAAACAAGGTCCTCACTGGCGCCATGACTATCATTTCTGTGTCTATAGCGCTGTAAAACATTTACTATGCCATGCCAAAGTCCACGCGCTTTAGCTTAACATAATAGGATATTCAACAGTGTAACCTGACCTATAAATCGCTCTTGGGGATAACCCAAGCGATGACGACACTCGTAGCGAGTTTGGCAGTACATTAATATTAATAAGACGGCACATCTCAAATGTGCTCCTGCCGAATAGTGCCGAAACATAGCCCACAGTAGGCAGTCTAAAAATAAACGCGATAGACCGTACGCTATTCTTTGCCAATATTATGTGAGCCCCGGAGCAATCCAGCGGAGTGCTCAAGGGAATTGTGATTAGTTCATTGTCTGTCTTGCCACTATTTTAAGTGACTCTGTGACCGTGAACCTGAGGGAGGTGAACGTGACCGTTCTACGAGTTGTGCCTTTGAATGGTTTTGTAGTGGGGTAGTGAAAGCTATTACTAGAGTGTTCAGTTCCAATACATGGGATGAACGAAATTGATGTTTAGCTAACAAACAAATTTAGTACTAGAAATTAAAGCGACAAGTAAAAAGAATGAAAATAAAAGCACGAGGTCCTCCCTCACCAACACAAAGATTCTACAATTATGCACCGTCTCATTTACTATGCCCTTGAGTATCTTCAGCATGCGATAGCTTAATTGTGTACGTCCACTTTTTAGCCCCACGAGCCGCCCCTGTTTACAACAGAGGTGTGATCGCATTGATGAGAGTGAATGATCCGTGACGCGACGGACCGTACAATGATTGCAAGTTTTCGCTACTTGGTTGATCAGCTGAGAGCGCCCAGGTTTTTTTTTTTTTCTTTAATAAAGAAAAAAACAACTAAATTATGACCTGAAAAGTGGGATCTTAGCCGAATGCAGCTCCTTCAGTGCAGGATCTTATGGTGACCTTTTTATCAATAAAATTCTGTTTTTCCTAAACAGCGGGATTTTAGGCGAACCGGGACCTTAAGCGGTGGCGTGGGGTCTCAAGCAGAGACTACTGTATTATAATATAATTACAATACATGACCAAGTCTAATGGCATCATATATAGTAATTTGACTTATTTTTAACAACATGAGGGATTTCAGGGGGATATGCCTCCCCGCATTTCTCTATAATTTGATGTTTTAGCTATTAGGATTGATATTTTCTTGAAAACAATTGATTTGAAAGGGTTTTAGTTTCAGTAGCCATGTGTGTTCTGCAGCAAAAATTATGGCAGTTTAGCCCCAAAACCTGTGCATCTGCGTGTGGGTATAAAAGTAAAAATTTACTGTACTTTATGACATTAAAATGAAATGTAGGATTATTTTTTCTATAATATTGTGACACCCCCCCCCCCCCCCCCCCGTGACACAATTAGATAATTAGGTGACAACATCTTCGATCTGGACAACCAAATACAACAAACAGACCATGAGATCAAGAAAAAATCCCCAAGGATGGAGTTCAGATAGGAGTGTTGAGATCCACCTGCCGCCTGTAAATGAGATCGGGAGGTGGATTTCAGAAAGATATTTCGGGGCACAAAACTGGCTTGAGATAGAGAGGATTGCTTAGAACAGACAGAGGGCCACGAGAGCCCTATATGGGGTCCTGTGACCAACACCAGGGTGAAAAGCAGGGAGAGAAAGAGAGATCTTTGAACTGGGCTGACCTGAGCTGAGTGGGATATATGGCATCCCAGCAGAAAGACTCAAATGGTCCCAGTGGAATTAACTTCCCTGCACGGAATTAATATTCTCATGCCTCTTCTCTTATGTGTTAGGCGAAGAGCCTGACACATTCATCGCTGACACCAGGTTGAAATTACTAATTAATTTAATCTCAATTTATTGTATATATACACACATTCCATGTTGTATGATTTCGTTGAAGATGTACCAGCAACTAATATGAAACATGACGATGTCTTCTCCTCTTTTGTCTTGTATAGTTCAATATAGGAGGTTTTTTTTTCATTAATATGACGATGTGTGCAGTCTCATCTTGAAAAAAAAAAATGGTATAGGTTTGTGTATCAACACTGTTAGGTTATTTCAGAGGTGGGACCTTGTGTTTAATGTCCCGTCTCCGAAAAGACCAAACCAAGTGGGAAATAGGGGGGGCTCTTGTGGTCGAGTGGTTATGGTTTTCGCCTCTCGTTCAGTAGGCCCCAGGTTCAAATCTGGGTAACAACAGAAAAATTTCCTTCTCTAAAATTGTCTCCTTTCACCTCCTTTCCTGTTCTTCTAGCAATGTTCTGTCGTCTGCTTTCGTCTCCACTTTCTTGCCCCACCCCCTCACCTCCTTTGCCCCCCCCCCGGGCTCCTGTTTTTTTTCTGCAGCCTTTCTACTGCTTGGCTCCTTCTTACTGCTGTCTTTGGTCCGGTGTGCAAGTTGCGCATGTTAAAGATCCCTTGGTCGTCTAAAATGTATAAGAGTAGGCTTCAGCCACAACCCGAGCAAAATTCAAAATTTCCTACCAACTGAAAATATTTAATGTGTCCCGTGTGATCATATGACCTTATGCAGTTTTGAGCGCGGTAAAACACTTACATTACAAACAAGTCGGAAATTTTTATGAAATTTCTTTTCCAAGAACAATAACGGACTGAGCTGAGGCTTGAACACCAGAACCAGCAATTTCTTTATTACGAGTCCACTAGGCTGCCGATACCACTAATCTCATCTTGTTGGATAGTAATCCACCACTAGTTAGCAAAGTGCACTAATAAAGTGCAGTGGCTATCATATACAGTGTTTATGAATGATGAGTTACTTCTAATAATAATCATGGGATGTCTCATTTTCATATTTTAGAGAGATAAACCCTGTTTGCACACATCACCCATTGGTTGAACTTTCCCCACTGCAAATGATCTCAAACTCAAACCATAGGTTTCAATGAGATTACTAATTGCTTTATGAAAGGTACAAAACTTTTGCTTGTGTACTTCGTGATTGGTGTGCTGATGCTTTGCTAAAACGGACTTCCATGTTCAGACATTATTTGCTCTTACTGATAAGAATTTCATGTATGCATTGAAGAGGCTTAAGCTCGATATTATTCCTGTGTAAGATCAAAACAATAAATAAATGAAGGAACCTCATGATATGTTAGAAAATAAATAACACGAAGAACTAAAAATCTCAGAAAGTCTGCAGTGTAACAGTTTATCATGTGATTGAACTGTATGATAATTGAATTGATAGGCTTTTTGTCTTACTGCTGAATTTGTTTTTCAGATCTTGCAAATGTTGGAGAAGAAACAAGACTTGTTCAGGAGACATAAAAAATCTCAGGTAATGGTAATGTCTTTGAAAGTGTTTTTAAATAAGTGATAAAACCATAAACGTAACGAAAGTGTTTGTTGAACAGAATTTTGTACAGTTAGTAGTTAGTTCAATGATTTCAAGTGTGGGATTGTAGTTTTCTTACATAAACCTTTCTTGAAAACTTAATTCAAGAACATTATATGCAGACTGGCTTTGAATTGTCCATCAAAACTGTGTTCAATTTGACTCTCCTTTTACTTTTAGAGCTCTTAGTTGGTTTACACGTGTGTATTGTCTGCTTCCTGTACTTTTTCTGTTTCTGTTCTATTGTCCAAAGCTACAGCATACCAAAATATGGATGATATGGTGTCAGCTAGCCAGAAACTGCAAGCCAGCTCAGCTTTCAGATTTTGACTGTCATAATTTCTATTTTTCAGAAGCCCAAGCGATGTACCAATGTCACTGCTCTACACAAACTAAGATGTAGTGACCTTGATTCCAGGAGTGTGATCAACAACCGTCATGTGCAGCAGTTTGTCACAGAACAAGAGTTCAGATCGTCCCCTCATTTACCTGCCCCACCAATCAAATGTGGCATCGACACAACTTTTCAGGACAACAAGCAAAATGACCTCAAGCCGTCAGGTGGTGTTGCTCCCACTTCAACCAACAGTGGTAGAATTATTCATGGCGGAGGCCGAGAGAAAAAGGATTCAAAATCAGCTATTGTATCTGTTGATCCTTCTTCTCAAGATGGTAAAGTCAATACACGTCATAGCAGGACTCCATTAGCCTCAAAGAAAGAGCTTATTAACCGCAGTTCTACTGTGAAGACAATGAGCAAAGTGACAGTTGAAGAAAAGTCTTTTCTAAAAGATGCCGAGCTAACTCAAAAGCAAAATTCTTGTGTCGATAACAAAGTAGAGATAGAAGATGAAGAACGTGGATTTTTTTTTTATTCTACTCCTGAAAATCCTGAGAATAAACAGGCTACTACATCAGGAAAGTTACCAGGACCAAAAGGTGATAATCTGGACGGTGAGGGAGAATCAAGTGAAGAAGATGTGATTGAGGCAACACAGGTGTGCTCTGTCAAAACCAAATTTGCCAGTAGTGTTGGTCGCAGACAAAATCATGTGGATGTGTCAGAGTCTGGCAGAAGAAGGGGTCCGAGGTCTTTACTGACAGTAAGCCCACCTGGCTCCCTTTCAATAAAGAGTTCACTGTCATTTGGGAGTGCTGTGGACTCATTAGCATGCAGTTCTACGGACCAGAAGTCTCACCATCTCATTACAGACTCCCAGTTCTTTCAGATGCTCGGTGTGAGTGACTCTGAACAAGGAGAAAGTTACCTGGACACAATGCACTGTGATAAGGCCAGTAATCCCATTGAGTCTAACAATTCTGCTCTAGTTCAGTTTGAAAAGCAAACCTCAGATAGAACTCATGCCTTTGGTTCTCAGTCCAACACTAATGACTTTTGCCAGAAAACTTCATTCTCAGTTGATTCTCAGAATGGACAAAGTAGACTTATGGTTGACACTCAAGATGTTGAAAATAGAAGTTCGATTAACTCTCCAAGTTGTTCTATTGAATCTTGGTTAGATGAAAATACGTCTAAAGTTATCTCTAAAAAATGCGAGTCTACTCTTGACTCTTTGTTGGACCAAAATACGTCTAAAGTTATCTCTCAAAAGTGTGAGACAAAAGTAGATTGCAACAATGATATGATCAGTATGTCTCCTATTGGCTGTCGAAATCGACTGAAGACATGCACAACTGACACTCAAAATGACCAAAGTAGATCTTCTTTTGATTCTCAAGATGGCGAAAAGTCCACTATCGATTTTCAAAATGACCAAAGAAAGTCTGCAGTTTGCCTTCAAAACCCTACGAGTTCAGAGACAATTTTATCTCTCAAGAATGCTAGTCTTTCCTACATTCCACTTGAACAGAAGTTGTCTCCATCTTCTGAATCAAGTGAGCTCATGTTAAAAGCTTTAAGCACAAATGCAAGCTCGCCACAAGAATCCCTGTTGTATGCTTACCCGACAACTGTGCCTGACACGGAGATGCCTGTGTCTGAAATGCCTTACAGCAACTTTACAGAACTTGATGCCATTCCATACTCACAGTTTGAACTGTCAGAAGATTTTTTGTCAAATGAAATTCCATTTCAGAACTTTAAAGGTGTCAAGGCTAGGAAAAAATCAATATCTTTGGTGAAAAGACGTTCACCAAGAATAGCTTCTCAGTCTTATAGTGGCAATAATAGTGCCGGTATTCAATCTTCTAATGTGTCGCGGGCCACACCAAAGTCTACCTGCACTTCTCAAATGTCCCATCGGCAAGCTGGATCCAAGGCAGGCACCCAGGGCGGGTCTGCTTGGAGGACAAAGAAAGCCCAGGCCATCTTTGCCATCTTTCAGGTCCTTATTGAGGAGATGAAAAAGATACCCTCATCCGAGTTTGAACTTCCAGATGTATACAGGAGCTTACAAAGTAATACTGATACTGGAGAGAAATACTTGGAGTCACAGCCTGAGGTGGTCCCTTCAAATGTGTCTCTTGACAATGTGCCTACTTCTGCACTGGAGGAAGGTAGGAGTGCTGCTCTCAGCCACAAGACAGCAGAGGGCAATTGGAAGACCTATCACCCTGACGAGGTCAAACCGTCTAATTATTTGTTAAACTTTAAAAATGTTGATCAAACAAAGGTAGACTTAGACGATGGAATGTCTGTTCAGTGTTCAGGTTCAAGCAAGTCTAATAACGCCCTGGTCAGAGCTACTGGCTCGGCTGCTATAAGACGCGGGTCTGTGGCTGGGGACCCCGTGGACTTCACTGATTGCATCCCAGAGTCAGAAGTCGACACAATAGAGGACTCTGAGCCAACTGAAAGCTCTGGTTTAATGCACACTGGGAAGTCCGATGTGACATATATTGTCAAGTATAATGCGACACAGACGGTTGTCAGTGATAGGCATACGAAGAAGTATAATTCCATACGAAAAGAGAAATCTGATTCGACTCTTTCTGTGATATCTGATGACACTCTGATCACAAAATTTGATAAGTCTGAATTGAAGCCACCAGGTAGATCTAACTTAATGGAAACAAGGCAATCAGATGAGAGTGACAAAGGAAATTGTAAGGTGATGGGTGCAAAGAAGTCTGAAGTGAAAAGTGTTTCTGAATCTGATGTCACTGGCACCGAACGCTTTGATCAGGTATTGTTAAAACAGTCTTGTACAAATGGTAAATCAGAGTTTGATGGACCCCTGACAGTAAAATCTCATGTAAAGAGGTGTGAAAACTTTGAAGTAACAGATTCTGCACAGTCCTATATGGCACCAAGAAAGAAATCCAGTAATAGTGAGAAGTTATTAGACAACACGACTTTGTCCATGAAAGCTTATGGAAAGCAAAAAGTGATTTGTGACCAAATTGTTGGACCTGTACGGCTGGCACCAGAAGGGAATGCAGAACCAACTGTTATCCTTGAAAGTCCCTTAGCAAAATCCCAAAAGGGGGTTACGAATTCTCATATGGTTCGATCTTCATCAAACATGGATGTACAAAAAATGATGGAAGGTAATGATGTGGTGCAAAAACTACCAGTTTCCCCGCTGCAGTCAGGAGAGCAGAATAAGAAGCAAACGCTTGAACAGGACTTGGGGCGGAACGTGAAGGGAGACGCCACACGAACATCTGCATCCTTAGGGGATATATTGCTTGAGTCTGAACTGAAGGAGAAATTTATGTGTAACCCTGACAGTGTTTTATCACAGAGAAGGATCGATACCCCTGATTTCCCTTCCACCCCTCGACGTAGGAAGTCCAAAAAATTGAGGCACTCGCTTTCATTGAACCGTAGACTTTTCTCCCGTTCTGTAGTAACAGCTTCAGCTGATCATTCTCCCAAGGATAAGGTTTGCAGTGACAACTACCCTGGTGTAGAAAGTGAAAAAGAGAAGACAGTAGAAGATGTTAAGTATGCTGGAAACAGTCCAGGGGAAAGGGACTGTGTTATTGTCCAACATTGCAGTGAAGAAATGGGAGCCAAGGAAAAGCCTTGTAGCGATGTTTCTCCTAAAGCAAAACGGAGGAGAAGAAACATGATAGAAAATGCAAGGCCCTCAACAGAAGAACCTGATGCAGATGATAATGTCCACCTGTCCAGTGGAGAGAATGCCAAAGTTCTTCCACCTGCCTTGACACTGTGCTGTGAGAACGAAAACGTGGAAAGTTCAAGCACTCTTATCAATGAGACCGAGGTGATGGACACGAGCGGAGAGGGTGTCAGAGTAGGTGCAGCCAATTTTAATGGTTTCCCTTTTGAAAATATTGAGGTTGTGAATACAACATCTGTTTGTAGTGTTAGAGACAAAAGAGACAACGCTGATGTTCGTGCCACCTACTGTAGTCCGGTACGTGTCCCAGAGAGTAGTGTTGTCAGAGGTGTTGATCATAATTTCAGCCTCACCAGTGCAGCGGATGTAGTCAGACAAAATACTGACAATGTCATGTTAAACAGTGAAGCTGATGACAGAGAACATACTGACTCTTGCCGTGTGAGCACAGTCAGACAAAATATTAACAATGTGAATTTCCCAGCTTCCGACCTCAATCTGATTCATGATAAAGTTCTTGTAGCAGCTGAATGTGATGATATTAGAAACGTAGCCAGCAAACAAGAAGATAATGCTGGCTGTGTCAGTTTCACCACTGGCCAAGGCTTGTGTCCGTCTAACTGTCACTTGTCGCCAGTGGCTTCCAGTCCAGGTGTGCTGAGTCAGTCTATGTGTGAAATTGTTTCAATTGGGGTACCAATGACTCCTTCTGCAGTCGGCCACTCTGTTGGCAGTCTCCCCCCCTCACCGCAAACTCCAGTTACTCCAATTATATCATCAGCCAGACGAAAACCAACACCATCTGTAAAGTCTCATCAAAGATTTTCTTTTACATCAACTCCCAAGACCAATATAAAACAGAACTCCCTATCCGGACTTCCTTTGGAGTCACCATGCTCTGCTACAGACTATTCAGCAACCTTAGGTGTTGAGAACCGAACTATCAATGACCGAAATGAACTTTTGTGTGACGCTATTGAACAAGGACCTGCATCAACCACCTGCAGTTCTGCTTCTAAGGTACCACAGCATAAATGTTTGACTGAAACTGTGTCTGTCCATGCGCCTCCTACGCTTGCGTCACCCACAGGAACCTCGGTCGACAACAATGATGAAGTGAAGCCCATTCACCACCACGACGGCTGCGCGTCTCTGACAGATAGGTCTCCTTTAGGGGTTGCTGTCAGGACTTGTCAAGTCAACACCTCAGTCTGTGAAGAGAGCTATGTGTCTCCTGGTCAAACCCTGGCATGTGGGTCACCTGTAGTGACCTCCTGCTGTCATGGTCAAGTGAAATCCATACTTCATGAGGAGAGCTACGTGTCTCCTGGCCAGCCTCCAAAGTGTGCGTCTCTTGGTGTTGATCAACGGAATAATAAGTCCTGCGAAGAAAAGACAGCTCACCATGATGAGAGCTATGTGTCTCCTGCTCAGCCTCCCCAATGTAAGACTCCCAGAGGGACAATGATCAGTATGGCTCAGTCAGAAACTCCAAACTTTGAGGAGAGCTATGTGATGTGTCCTGGCCAGCCTGTAATGAGTTCTTCTTCAGTAGTGACCCCTGCTGGTGATAGTCAAGAAAAGATGAGTCAGCAGTGTGTGATGAATAAAGGGAGAAAGTTGAATGCTACCCCATCTGGCTTGACATACATTTGGGAGGAAGGCAGTTCTGGACCGCGACATGGCTCATTTGTCTTCACACCTGGCCGCAGGAAATCACGATCTGGGGACAGGAGGGGAAAGAGTAACAAACCTTCGAAGACTCTTAAATTTTCTGGATGCTTTCAGGTGAGGCTTGTGTCTTTACTTTGCCATTCCAATATTGGTAGTTGGAGCGTTCAGTGGTTTGGTTTTTTATGTTTTATTTCTCTCTAATGCCCCTGTTATTTTTCTGTTGTCTCGCTTTTCTTGCCCATACTGAAGGGCCATTATTGTGCTAAATTACTAATGTGCTAATTTTTCATTCTAACCATCACAGTATGATTTAAGTGCAGTCCTTACTATATCTAATTTCATAGTACAGTACACTTTCCAGCTTTTGCCGGAATTTTGAAATTCCCAAAATGTCAGTTCGCTGGTTTTCAGAGCTTTAAATTTTTTAAAAGTTTGTTCTTCTGTTATTACTATTGTTGTCCTAATCTGGTCCTTGTACTTGTAACATGATCTAATACCATTGATAAAGATTAAACATGATTCACTTTCACAAACTCAAATTAATAACTCAGCGATTGTGTTGGGGACTCTGGAGGTGGAGTCTGCCTGAGCCTGGGCCACTTCAAGTGTCCCAGAAAAGTTTCAGGTATTGGGGGAAAAAAAGGTATCAATTCAGAACATAGGCTTCTCTTAAATCTGCTCCTTGCTATCAGAGACTTGGCAAGGTTTCCTCTTACAAAGCTCAGCCATATTTGGCTTAAAGGAGGACCCCATGCATTCTAAGCTTTTTTATGTCAAGAAGGGGTCGCAAAATGTCATTGTGTGGGCCTCAATTGGTGTAGAATGTCCAGTGAGAGAAAATGTCATGGTTGGAAGTCAAAAGCATGGTTTTGGGTGGCTATTTATCTTCAACTGACATTAATTTTTACTTCAAAATCTATGCTTTTTTCACCTGAATAGAGGACATAAGGACTTAAAACTATGCTGTCTGTGAGGACACTTCAGCTATTGAAATGAATTGACAGTATAGAAGTATGAGAATCTGGTTTTTTGTTATTTTATGTTTTGTCCCAGTATCTGAAATTTGGCCAAAATGTGGGGGTTTTAAGCTTTCGCTGAAGGTTCTTCATTACTCTCTCTGCACACCTAGTCCCCTCAATTGTTTATTTCTCACAGTCCGTATCTTCTGTGTTTCTTTTCCGTATTGTTGCTGTCCTAATCAGTATGTGGCAAAAAGGATCATAACCGATTATTTCGTGAACTCATTTTATTTCACAACCCTACCAATAAGTTCACCGTCTTTTATTATGACCATGCTTATGTTTGTGCTTTTATTTTGTTTTTGTTTAACCCACGGCTTGTAGAAATGGTTTACCTCCTGGGACAGTGCCACTGACTGTAGTGTTTTTAGGCCATTCCCAAAGGGGAGACATTTCTCGTTCAAGCATAGTGGAATTGTAAGTGGGCTTACCCATGTCACTCTCATAACTGTGCCTAATCTACAACAGGGAACTGCTGCTTTTTCTTTCCTGATCGTTTCTATTGTCATTTTCCTGTACTTCTTTTGTATGTTTGTCACTCTTGTGACTTGCTATTTCCGGGGTGCCTTGATAGTCGAAGCATACCTTGTGCTGTTGAAGCTAGAGAGGTGAGCAGTCTAAGTCTGATTCCCTGTAAAGACTTCTCTATTGACACCCACCCGTTGGCGCTCATATGACCTAATGCAGTTGCGAGCGCCGTAAAACCCTCTACTATAGAAAAAATAGAAATGGTTTTAAATTAAATTTTTAAAAATTTAATCGTTATCTCCAGTCATGTTCCCAAGATGCAGTGGTGCGGCTGCTGTGTGGAGAGGTAATCCTCCCTGATGGTCAGAGCCAGCCGTATGTGGTGAGCGTCCAGGCCACAGCATTAACCATCTGGGCACAGACAGATCAGGAGCAGTGGGCAGCTGAACTTGACTGGGCCTTGTCTCAGGTGAGAGTTGTTTGCCACCTTTAGATAAAAAAGAAAGGATTGCCTCTACTTGGGATATTTTGAAGGTGCAGGAGGGGGGAGGAGCAACCACTCTGGTAGGGGAAGAATTATTTCAAGAAGATCATTTATGCCCTACTTCTTACCTACCAGATATCTGTTGTCCTTATCTCTCCTCCTCTTTTTGTTTGTTAGTTACACTGTGGAAACTCCTCTAATCTTCAAGGATTATCTGATTGTGTTGCAAGCGCCGTATAATTTTTTTAACCAAAACTAAAAAAACTATCTATACCCTACTTTATGGGCGTCTGCTTAGGTCAAATTGGTACGTTCTTAAAGAATAGCAAGTGCATTTCTGTGTGTTGAGCTCTGCTGTTTATACAAAGAGACATATACAGTGGAAGCCATCTATAACAGGCCCGGTAATAGCAGGGATCCGGTAATAACAGGTAAAAAATCCCTGTTTTTTCCCACTCTTTGTCTCTATTAAAAGTTATCAACAATGACAGGGCCTCATTCAAGCCCAATCGGTTATAGCAGGGACAAAGGCTCCTTAACGACATGTAAAAAGTAAGAGAGAGAGAGAGAACCACTCAGCGGATGGAGCGAGAGAGGGCTGCGGTGTGCTGTAGACTTCGATGTAGCCCAAACCTAACTACCCGCTCGCGTAATATGTCATGCGCAGGCCATGGGAAACTACCTATGAATAAGTACAGCTGGATTAGTCCACAAATGCTTACTTCCCTTGCATTTTTGATTTAACATGGATCTGATATAACAGGATTTTTCTCCTTTCCACCATCCCTGTTATATCAGGTTTCCACTGTATATGGGTTATGTCCAATATGAATGTTAATTGTCATAGTTGTATAATATAATCACATGTTCTACTAGGTTTTGTGAAATTGTTCCAGGGTTGTGCAAGACTGATTCAGCTCTAAAAACAACCGTTTTGCATAGTACTGATCAAAGCTCACAGCTTTGAGTAGATATTTTTGAAAAGTTTTCCTTTGGTCAAGATGAAATCATTTGGACTCTTTTTTTTTTTTTCAAATCAATTTTAGATTTAAGTGCATTAAACATATCTCTGAAAAGTCACCAAAATATTCTGAGAATTTCTTTTGCTTGTGCATTTGGTAAGGATATAACCATTGTATTGAAGAGTTGTGATATCAAGGCTTTAGTGAAGGAAAAAAGGGTTTCTTTGTGGAGTGGTAAAGACACTAGGGGGGCTCTCGTGGCCTAGAGGTTAAGGTGTTGGCCTCTCATTCAAAAGGTCCCGGGTTCGAATCCGGGCAGTGACTGAAAAATTTTCTTCTCTAAAATTGTCTCCTTTCACCTCCTTTCCTGCTCTCTAGCAATATTCTGTCGTCTGCTTTCGTCTCCTCTTTCTGCCCCCACCCCCTCACCTCCTTTGCCCCCTCCTCTGGGCTCCTGACTCTTTCTGCAGCCTTTCTACTGCTACTCCTTGACTCCTTCTTACAGCTGTCTTTCTGCCACACCCCTGATCTTCTGGTAGGAAAGATCTACACCTAGCCTTCTCGGACAAGGGCGAAAAATCTCGGAGGGCCCGTGTGCAAGTTGCGCACGCTAAAGATCCCTTGGTGGTCTAAAATCGATAAGAGTAGGCTTCGGCCGCCACCCGGGCAAAATTCAAAATTTCCTACCAACTGAAAATATTAGGTGTGTCCCGCGCGCTCATATGACCTATGCAGTTGCGAGCGCCGTAAAACACTTTACAAAAACAAAACAAACAAAAAGACACTGGCTTTGTACTTTTTGTCTGAAAACTGATCTTTGCCGAACTGCCGAGAGATTTTTGGTCGGGGAGTTGTCATGGCTCTGTGCTGTTGTGAATGGTTCCCAAAACATTAATGCGGATTTTTGAATGGAAAAGCATGTTGATTTTTTGGTCTCAGACATCACTAAAAACCAGTCTGAGTCGAACATCTTCTCTTGACTACCTTCTGTGCTCTTATCCAGGCTTCCCATATCCTGAGCAGCTGCCTTCTCCCGGCCAAAGATTCTGTGGTTGTCGTGACCAGTGGTCGGTTGTCTGGCCAGCCTTGCTCTGATGTGTTTGTCTATCACTGGACCTCGGAAACCACCTCACGGTTCAGCCTCCCCTTGGCTGAAGAATATCCAGAACTGAGGTAGGTGAAATCACATAGTATAGCTGCCAAACAGTATGTGAAAAACATTATTTAAAACTCTTCCTACCTGGCCCAGGGCTTTTCCCTGACCTATTTTTACGCCCCTACCCCACCAAAGGAAAATGTCAAAATATCCAACGAAACACACGCAAACCATATCTTGTGGCCCATCAAACTGAGGGTTAAAAAATAATCTATCAGATGGCGATACAATATTGAAGATTTATTTCAATGATATTACTTTGGGGTTTCTAAAAGTGATTATGCAATATCGGTGTCATATGAAATCAACAATTTTCCAGCTTTGGAAGGTCATATCTAAAAAAGTACAAAAACAGCATCATTCAAACTTCCCAAGTAGGTTGCCTCAAGTACTGCTAAGAAATGCTGAAAGTTATGTATGTGTACCTAATAGAGAAGTAAAAATATGAGACATATACTGAAGTCAGGGGAGCGCTTTTTTTCACATATTTATGTTTCGAAGGGGACAAAAAAAAAGCGCTGAAATGACTAAAAATCGTCTCTCAGTGCTATATTTTCTTTCGTATCTGCTAACAGGAAGTCTATTTTATTATTTTGAAAACATGGATCGGCCGAGAACTTTGTGTCTTTTCATTACTGGATTGGAATAGATAGTGAGCCACTCGAGCTGTATTTTGCGGCTCTCGGTCCGGTAAGGCCCGGTCCGCGAGCCGCAAAATGCGGCTCGTGGTAGGGAAAGTGTTGATACATTTTTGAGGCTTTGAGGTCGGAAGTCACGTTTGGTATCGGACAATTTGTGTTCTCTGTTTTCTAGTATCACTCCTCATGGACTTAATGATACTGAAGAAAAATTATGAACATTCAAGACTGAATTTATGAATACAGTAGTCCCCACCTAAGATCCGGGTGCTCGAGAGAAAGGAAATGCGGGATCTTAGGCGAACCGGGGTCTTAATCGACGATCCCAGGGAAGAATCTATGGGGACCCATGTTAAGGCTTACAATAGGTAAAATGGTCTCCCTCCTCTCTAAAATGAACCCTTAGTGGGTTTATGACATATGGCGAGCAAGGAGTGGTTAACCTTGATGGCCTATCACAGTGCATAGTGCCACGAGGCGTGCCATTTTCACTTATTATCCTATCATGAGTCTCAAGATCTACGCTTATTCAGCTGCCCCTCCCCTTTACCTGTCAAAAATTTATAGCTTTCCATCTCTGACCGAGTTCCCCCCCCCCCCTCCTCCCCAAACGCCTTTGTCGTTACACACCATTACGTCGTGAACACACCAATTAAAATTCAGTCTGTCTAGCAAATTCGGGTGTAGAGACAACTGCTGCAATCAATACCTACTGCAATGGTCAGGGAAGAGTTCACGGTTCGATGTGATCCCGCCTGGAACGAACCTGTAGGCCCTATCCACCCAGCGAGTGATGTAAGTTTAGGGGGAGAGCTCAGGTGTGAGTACAATGCGTGGGGAAAACAAACGCGTCGGTCAGTTCACACCCCGGTGTGATCCCGTCGGGGGCAAACATTGTATCGCTTCATCCAGTTTTACTACGTGTATGCGATCACATTCACGATAGTGGCTGATCTTTGATGCGACGGACAGTTTATTGGTCTCAACTTTTCACTCTTGTTTGATCGGCTGTGCCCGCCCAGGTTTTTGTTCCGCAAATTATGGTCTGAAATGCGGGATCTTAGCCGAATGTAGACCTTCAAAGTGAATCAGAGCGGGATCTTAGGGGTGACTTTTGTATAGTAAAAATTCTGTTTTCTTAAAACAGCGGGATCTTAAGCAAACCGGGATCGTAAGCGGTGGGGTCTTAGGCGGAGACTACTGTAATAATGAGAATGGAACTCATTTAAAGTCAATTAGAGTTGCATCAAAACATAAGATAAAGATCTTTACTAAACATTGTTCCTATTGTAACTTAGTGTTGCTTCAGGTCTTCTTGAAAAGTTTGAATGAATTGAATACAGAAAAGTTTGTGTAAAGGATTTGAGGCGAGGGGGGGGGGGGGGGGGGGGGGGGGGTTTACTTGGCCCATGCCCACAGTTGTCCCACCATGTGGATAGAGTCTGGGTTTTTTTGGCTTTGAAAAGTTTGCAAGTATGATAGAGCCACTGTGTTTTGGCTGTGGAGCTGTTTTAATGCATCCGTCAGTGATTTCCAAAAACTTGAGTCTCCCTTGAAAGCAGAAGCTTTTTCTTTTTTTGTGAGTGAAAGTTGAAGATGGCTATCATTCCATTGCGTAGAAAAAGAATGCTATACTTCTTTTCTTTTATACTATTTATTCTCCCTTCTATATTTTTCCCTTGCACTATTCAATCAATGTTCTTTTCTTCACTCAGAAAAGACTTATCTTCAGTTTTACTTTTGTCTTAACTGTCTATTAAACTTAAATAAATTTTTCTACAACTTGATAGCTGGATGCAATACTTCGACAAACGCCAAATGCAATTTGGCAATTTTTAGTCTTGCACCCAGATATCAAACTGTTCCCACAAGGCCATATTACGGTAACTTGGAGAAGCTTTATAGTGAGGGGTATCTTATATACCTGTAATATATAGCGAGCAAAAGAAACGCGAAATCCTCTGGGTTTTTTGTAATGGTGATCATGTGTGTTCTCCATTTTTTTACAAAATGGCGGAACTTACACACAAACTTTTTTCTGGCATTACGAAAGGATACGTGGGGCATCACTGCGAATGTTAAATTTCAACTGAGTACATTTTCAACTTCCGGTTAATACATCAAAATGCTTGGCTGCAAGTATGGCCACCATTAGCGCAGATATCAGCAGCACATCTCTGGTACATGGAAGCCACTGGGCTGTTGGCAACACGTAGTGGGATCTGCGTCCATACCTCCTGGATGACCAAAATTCCTGTTTCTGCGCGGTTCTCTGCCTTGGTTGTCTTCCCGTGTTGCGCTGTTTAATTTCGTCCCAAAAATGCTCACTTGTGTTTTAATGCGGGCTAAGTGCAGAGTGAGGCTGCAGGATGATGCCATGATGCTGGGGGAAACCCTATGTAGCACGGGCAGTGTGAGCATGACATTTATCTTGCCGGAACCGAAAGTTAAAATTTTGTTTGTGTAGAGGGGTCCTAAGAACTTTTGCTATGCAGCATTGACACCTTGACCTCCACTTTGGCCTTGATTTTGGAAGATTGCTGGTCCACAGGATTCCACCCTAGCTCATGACGTGATGTCCTCCCCAGCAATTCTTCTCTATGACACAGTTGTCATGAAAACGTTCGCCTCTCTCTTGGTAACCTCTGAGGCGCCTATTTATTGTATCAATGAAAACTGGCATTCGTCTGAAAAGAAAACCGAAGATCAGTCTTTCAGATGCCAGTTGACATGTTCTTGGCGATGGTGTGCGGTCAAGACTGGACCATGGTGAGGTCAGTGACATCTAATCTAAGGCCTACCTAAAGCAATTGTCAGTTCTCTGTGTGTCCTCCGTGGATCTTATCAAATCTGATGTTCTTGTAGCTGTATGAAGTCAATTTGCATGATGCATCCTGACATTGTGTCTGTATGCACGTGCATCAGTCACTCAGGGTCGACCTGACCTTCGTCAGTCTGCAGTAGTAATTGTGAGCTGAAAACAGGTTATCAGTCTGTGGATAGTCGAGATGTGAACATGAAAATGATTGGCGATCACAATTGGCCTTTCTCCACCCTCCAAACAGCCTATTGCTCTTTCTTGCTGTATAGCCCTTAAACATGACATTGACATTGCAAATGCATGCGAAACAACCGAACCGATTATTCCCTTTTTTCCACCTATTTAGACCATGGTTTGAAAGCACCAGGTGGCTTTTTCCATGCCTGAATTAAGGGGCAATAACTCTAGTTGTCGGTGACATGCAAGACAGGGGACTTGATTTCCTAAGAACATTTGACATACTAAGATAAGATAAGATAATAAGAGGGAAATTTTTCTTGTCTGTACAGGACCGTAAAAACATGTGCAGGTATACTTAAAAAATCTTAATTTTAAATTACTCTCATTAAAATTCAGTATGAAAAGAGAAGTAAAGCTGACAAAATGTACATATCACATCAGATACATCTTTCAACCACGTGCAGGAATTTAATTACTAGACCTTTAGAGTTATATATGAGGGCTGTCCCACGGAAAACCGGAATTTGGCTGTAATTTGAAAACTATTCAATATTTTTACATTCTGTAAACGCACACTTGTAAAACAATCATTTACGAATTTCCCGATTGAGCACCATGAGCATCGCACAAACCAAATGAACACAGCAGTTCTCCAAAGATGGCTACCTCCTTGGAAAATTGGTCAAGGGTAGAAGTGAGGTCTGTCTTTCGGTTTCTGACCGCAAAAGGTCTCAAACCTATAGAAATACACACTGAAATAAAGTAAGTTTATGGGGAGAAAGTAATGGCAAGGTCACAGGTTTATGAGTAGTGTAGTAAGTTCAAAGCCGGGCACGGATGTCAATGACAAAGTTCACCCAGGACCTTGTTTTTCTGCCAAGACTGAGGACAACAAGAGTCGCATTAACGAACTCATTCAAACAGACAGGCGCCTAAAAATTCGCAAAATTTCCGAGTCGCTAAACATTTCAAAGTCAACTGTCCATAAGATAGTGTTTGATGAGATGCACTATCGAAAGGTCTCTGCTTGATGGGTCCCAAAAGAGCCTACAGCTGACCACAAGACGCAACATGTTAAAGTATCTCAGACTTTGTTGAATCATTATTGCCAAGCTGTCGAGGGAGTCATGAATGTTTCTGGAGACCTTCAACAATACGATGAAGCATTCCTGAGAAGCACTATTACAGGTGGTGATACTTGGTGGATACACCACATGAACCATGAGACGAAGAAGGATTCAATGGTTTGGAATCACATGTCTTCACCTCCCCCCAAAAAAGTTAAGTTCAGCCATCTGTGAGGAAACTCATGGCCTCGGTTTTTTGGGATGCTAAGGGTGTTCTGCTTCTTGACATTCTGGAACCAGGACGAACTGTTAATGCTAACAGATACTGCCAGACTCTTGATAAGTTGAGAGAGGTGCGCCGAAAAAGACCAGGCGGGTTGTCCAGCGGGGTCATTTTGCAGCATGACAACGCAAAGCCGCACACCGCAAACGCTACGAAAAACTGGATCCAAAGGTTCGGCTGGGAAGTTCTGCCACACCCCACTCACAGTCTTGACTTGGCCCCGTCAGATTAT